ATCACCTTGTCTTCTCCCACACAGGTTTCACTGGGGCATTGATAATAAGCTGCGCCTCACACCAACTGCTTCCTCCTACCTTTTGAAACGAAAAAGTAGCCTACACCAGCCTTCCTAAAATTGGTGCCCCCCAAACATTTTGGACTATAAGTCCCATAAACCTCAGGCAACTTGGCTAATGGTGAAGGAAGATGGGAAACTGACCCTTTCCATCTGCTCAATTTGGGTAAGAAATGCTTGATACCTTGGTACATTGTTTCTCAGTTCTTCTGCCCCATGATGCCAATGGACCATACCCATTTCTCCAGTGTGGTGTAGTGGTTAAGAGCAGTGGACTCGTAATCTGGTGAACCGGGTTCGCGTCCCCGCTCCTCCACATGCAGCTGCTGGGTGACCTTGGGCTAGTCACACAGAGTGTATGTTGTGGGGGAGGAAGGGAAAAGGAGATTGCTAGCCACTTTGAGACTCCTTAGGGTAGTGATAAAGCGGGATAACAAATCCAAACTCTTCTTTTAGGAAGATGCCTGTATCACATGCAAATTAGCCTTCAACAGGGGACCACCACCCCCTTAAAGATGCCAGTTACTTGCCCGAACGCAAGGTACCTGCATGCTCTTTACTGTCAATGGCTGATAGATGAGGAAGCAAGAGTATTTGCTTTGATGGAATCAGGTTGACGTCTACTTTGATGTTCTCCAGGTGCCTGAGCAGCAGCATGTTCTTTTAAAGTATGTCAAATTAAGCAGAAAAACTCAAGTCATTTCTTATGCTGAATTGATATGTCGATTTAGACAATTTAAGAACAGTGAGTAACAAATTAAGCAGGTGATAGAAGATCGATGCACAAAGCATCTGTTATTATCTCTGGACCTGACAGATAACCAAGCTATGTTGAACAGGTAATCAACCCTTCTTGCCTGGTGAACGAGGAGATGTTTTAAGGTGGTTGCAACAGGATCCCAGGATCATTGCGTTGTGGCTCATTTCTGAATGTACAAATGCTGCGCCAAATGTGCTGAAGAGTTTAAGCTGCATTTCCATCTCCAGCCTTAATAATAGAGCAAGTCAGCAAGGATCAGCATCAAGAACACCATTTATAGCGATAGGGTTTGAATATGAATGAGGCTTCAGAGCTGCCTGCGTGACTTACTATACCATCAGCTTTGGCAACAGAGTTTATATTTTTCTGTTAACTACCATATGCAATTGCTGCTTTTAATGCAAAGCATTTGCATGACCGGACTTGGGTCACTGTCAGCTTTTCGCAGAGGCTAAAGCTTTCCTGAAATGTCACAGCAAAGTCAGAGCAAGGATCTGAGCAATCCATTCTGCCACGGGATACTTCCTGACACTCAGTGCTAGCTTCTTCGGGTTCTTTTCGTAAACCCAGAAACTTTGCAATAACATCCGCACGTATGGAACAAACATAAGTGAGAGGCGAGAACCTCTGTCTAGTAAAGTAGTGAACTGTGCAGCGTCTGAGGACCCACATGCATGTATGCGTAAAAGCTTTATGACCATAAGGATGCTTATTAAAATAGGCAGAATGTGAACACTGCAAAGCTAAATAGATTTAATCATCATGACTTCCACTCAATAAGCCTGAAATAACAATGCAGGAACCTGCCACTTAGTCAAGAGCTTCGTCAGAGAATTGCAAGGACACATTTCCCAAGGTACACCAAATGGTTGCATGTCTTGTCCCTGCATTTGTAGCATGTGCATAACTGTGTGAGAGAGAATGAACTCACATGCACAGTGTTTGTAGCAAAACATGGCGAGGAGGATATATTTTCTGAGAATATTCCGGAAAAACAATCTCTCAAAGGACCTGTTGATGGCATTTTACCATTGCACTGTGGAGAGCGTACTAACTTATGGTCTGTGTGTGTGGTTTGGGAGCTGCACGGCCAGGGGAAAAACAATGCTATCCAGGGTTGTAAAGACTGCAGAGAGAATAATTGGGTGCACTCTTCCCACCTTGGATCAAATCTATGCTGCCAGGTGCCATAAGAAAGCGGCAGAGATAGCGCAGGATAATACGCACCCCGGAAATGATCTCTTTCAGCTTCTGCCTTCTGGAAGAAGGTATTGGGTTATAAAGGCCAGGACTAGCCGCCTGAGAAACAGTTTCTACGCAAATACAATTCTGGTTCTAAACGCAGCATGAGGGGTCTCTATAGTATAGTGTATTTTAAAATGGGATTTTAGAGTTTTTAGGGGTTTTTGAATGTTTTATGTAGTTTTTATGTAGTTTTATGTAGTTTTTCAATTTCGTTGTTCTGCATGGGACAATGACAATAAAGATATCTATCTATCTATCTATCTATCTATCTATCTATCATATCTATCTATCATCTAACAGTGATTAAAGCATTGACTAGCCTAGCCGCCCTAGCTGCCACCAAGTGCTGAATTCACTAGGTTGGAGAGATGGCGCTGACAAATATTGCTTACTACTACTAGCGATGTAGTGGAACAATGATAACAGTGTTTAGGCATCACCCATGTTAAAGCTCACTATCACCATGGAGCAAACAAATTGTACACTGGTTAAACAGTATGGTTAGAAGAGTTTGCCATGAAAAGTGGTAGATCACATAGGTGTACGTATATAAAAGGGCTTGATTCATGTGGAGCACAGAAGCAGCTCGTTCGGCAACATTTAATTTCATTTCACTTTGAAGTTGCATACCGCCTTTCTATATTACTATACGCAAGGCAGGTGACAAGCTGAAGGAACAACCAAACTGACAGCAAAGGTTGCACAACTAATAATCTGATCCCATACAAAAAAAGTCGTAACAAAAACATCTTTAGAATAATCAACTTATATAAAATAAAGCAATATTCAATAATCCATTGGAATAGTAAACAGTATAATAAAATATCAGCAAATAATAATTAAACAGTTTACATCTTACCATATACAATAAAGAATTCCTAAACTGTAATCAATAAAAATAACAGCAAGTCACAACCAAAAAAAACCATACAAAACCATGTAAAAGGGTCAAGTTGAGAAACAAGGATGCACAATTTATATATTTTTTAAAACTGAATATCCCTGAACTCGGCTCCTCTCTTCCCAGCTGCTTCTGCTGTTCTTAAAGTCATGGTCTGGGAAGAAGGGCTCCTAGGGCTAGAGGGTGGGGCAAGGCGGGTGGAAAAAGCCATTGCCTGATGGCCAGCACAAAGTCTCTCTCCCCTCACAGTTCTTCATCTGGAAACATTGGGGGAGAAAAGTAGTTCCTTGGACCAGGTATGGGGAACCCGCAGCCCTCCAATGTTGCCGAACCTCAACTCCTATCAGCCCCATCATGCCTGGCCAAGGATGATGGAAGTTGTCATTCAACAATATCTGGAGGGTCAAAGATTCCCTCGCACATCTTCAACTGGTGTCATGTACCAGACATCTCACCTGCAATTATAGTGCCATCTTCATGGTATCTCTTGAAAGGGCATCTTTAACTTGTACTGGCTGATAATGGGTTTTAGATGAGACCAGAGAGATGGAGGGATGAAAGTATTAGGATAGCATCTGAAGTGTGAAGGTGAAGCATACCACATAGTCAGAGGTGCAATGGGCCCCTTGTATCAAAGGTTTTAGAAACACTGCTTTAGTCTGATCCAGCCAAGGTTGTGCTATGTTCAACCCCTCCTTTCTTTTAAACATCCATGTTTTATGGTTCTTTCCTAAATGTCACAAAGGCAGATGCTGCCATCTGAAACACACGAGCTATAAATCTGATGTCGAAGAGCCATTTCAAACCCATTTCATCTGTAGATGAAATGCTTAAGTATCTGCCACAGAAAACTGAAAGAGGTTCCCCCCTCCCACTCTTTTTTCACCTCTCTTTTTTACTATTGTCGCAGTAAATAAGCAAGTGTGGATTGAAATGACATCAACCATATGCTTTGAAATGAAGGGAAAAAATCACAAAGCTCATTCCAGCTTGATGAACTCCAAAGAAGGTCAAGCACCTTCTGTATGTGTTTGAGCACCGTTTTGTATCACGAAAGCAGAGGGTGGGGGAGAGATGCACCCCAATTTGTTAAGGGCTACCCACAGTCAGATGCAGATTTCTAGAGAAAGGAAGTCAATGTGTAGTCTTCCAGGTGTTGTTGGAGGTGGTGATACATCTGACATAGGAATGCTACAGTCATCTACAGTGGTACCTCGGGTTACATACGCTTCAAGTTACATACACTTCAGGTTACAGACTCCGCTAACCCAGAAATATTACCTCAGGTTCAGAACTTTGCTTCAGGATGAGAACAGAAATCGTGCTTCGGTGCCACGGCAGCAGCAGGAGGCCCCATTAGCTAAAGTGGTGCTTCAGGTTAAGAACAGTTTCAGGTTAAGAACGGACCTCCGGAAGGAATTAAGTACTTAACCCGAGGTACCACTGTATAAGGAAGTGACTAGCTATAAAATGGTCCTCCAGGGAATGCAAGACTACAACTCCCAGCATCCCTGTCCGCTGCTCAGAGGGCTCATGGGAGTTGGAGTGCAACATTCAGAGGGCCACAGGTTCCCCACCTCTGAGCTAATAAGTTGTAGGGGAAATACAGGCTTTAAAAAATATATATCATAATTAGAAAAGGGTTCGACCAAGATGTCATCTCTGCGAAGTTATTGTCCCTCATTTCCCCAAATCTAAACAAGAGCAAATAAAACTTAAAATGGCTGCAGTCTTGGATATGTAACATCTTCTTCACAAATTAATACTGCCATCCTATACCTGTCTATTTAGAAAAATCGTCCTGTTGAGTTCAGTCGGACTTATTTCCAGGAGTTTGTGCACAGGGCTGCAGCCTAAGCTGCTTTGGGAACTCCCAGAGCAGAAAGGCAGGCTAGAGGTGAGGTATAAACAATTGCCATTTTTCTTTATCCCCAACAAAGTTCATTTAAAATATGGTGGAAAGAAAGGGGGGTGTTCTTGTACGGATTTCCAAGTAACATAAACATACCCAAAAAATGTCACACTGGAAACAAATTATTCTAAAAGATCATTTATTTATAGAAGAAAGGAGGAACAATCCACCCTGATCCCAAAGAATAGGGTGATTTCTGTGCCGCCCATGCTTCCCATCTGACCTGCGGTTCTTAAATATCATTCATACGCAAAGTGTTCCAGCGAAGAGTGGTCACAATCAAAAACATCACCCGATCTGAGTGTGAGAACTTCCCAAGGAGACAGCTTTTTCCTGACATTTTGCAAGAGACACTTCAGAGCTGTCCTCCACCAAAACCTTTCATTTTACCTTCTCTCGGCATCCATTTGATACGTTCAATGACAGTTTTAGTCTCAGCCACATGCGCTTGCTTCAGAATTACTTCAGGCGAGCCAGCACAAACTCGCTGAACAGTTCTGCCAGGCCCGCAGCCTCAAATTCATTTTGCAGCTCACCCAGCGTTGAGTACTCTTTGACTTCAAATGCCTGAAACCTATGTTGTACAAGAAAGACTTCATGAATATGCCTGCTTCCGTGTCAGAATGTAATTATCAATTCAAAGCTGCTTTTCTAGCCGAAACAGTGCTAAATTATACCTTCTGTGTGCTGCCTGGGCTTTTGTTTCTGAAAGAACGCTAATCATTTTCTCTTTACACTTCTTTCCGCTCGAATCCACATCCACCTTGCTGGTTTTCTGAAGAAGAAGATATTCCTAAATCACACACACACAAAAAAAACCCCACACAACATCAGAACATGAAACGTCAACTGTAAGAACCTGTTGATTAAACTTTATTGCTGAAAATAAAAATGGGAGGGAGCTCATCCTTAGCATTGCCCTGGTCAAAATCTCAAGGTTCTTAGAACTAAAGGTGAAAGACCAGGTGAAGTCTGAAGTTGCAAGACCAGTGTTACACTTGTGTTTCCATGTAAAGCATGGAAAATATACACCCATGATGGGATACATGAGGGGACGCTGGTGACATGCTCCAGTTGTGCTGGCCAATTATTATTATTTATTATTATTATTATTATTTGATGCACCAAGTCTTCCAGTGTTCTTAACTGCAGCTACCCACAAACTTCTTAAAACCATCAGGGTTGTAATTAGCACTAATTTGGATGATTCTTGCTATTATTTTAGTTTGCTGTTTTAATGTTTCACATTCTGCACTTATGATCTTCATAACTTACAAACCAACCTGTGACCATTTGGTAAACAGTGGTATAGAAATCCCTAAATGAGTAAGACATATTAGGAAGTTACATTTTGAAAGAGCAAACATTTATGAGCAGCCTACAGGGTCATTCAACCTTCCTACCTCTATGGTTATGTTACATGTACTTATCCCTTTTTCAAAAAAAATCCTAGTTATGTCTAGGTTTGCAGTTGGCTTATCCTGATCCAAATTATGTAATCTATCTTAGAAAACAGGCTTCCACTGCAATTCTGCTACACTGACTATGAAGAAACTTGTTGCAGGAAGACAGAACACCATATTCTCCATAGTGCAGCCATAATCATATGCATTAGTCTCTAAGGGATGTGGAAGTGCAATGGTCACTATTTACCAGAAGTCTGTTTGGTTAGCATTTGGTTCCATCTGTTCCTAGAATAGGAATAGGCCACAGTAGGCCTCAGACTCCCACCAACTTCCTGTCTGAAAACCAGCTTTTTTCCTCCCAAGCAAAGATCCTGTGCAAATTGCCAAAGAAGTCTGGAACAAAGTTTTCCCAACATGGACTTCAGCAGATTTCTTCCATGTGTGAGGAAAATGCAGGCAAATGCCAGCCGAGATACAGCTCTTGGCTAACCCAGTCTTGCTGTTTCCTTTGGAGAAATGAGGATTAAAAGATCCCTTTGCCCGGCAGGGGATCAGTGGGCGGGGCTAATATTGCTGGCTCTTCTTCAATTAAGAAATAAGCTCCCTGTTGAAGTTAGCGGCTGACCAGACCCTCTTAACCCAATGCTAAATCTTGTTATAAATCAGGATTTCCCAAACTTGGGTTTCCAGATGGTTGTTGACTACAATTCCCATTATCCCTGACGACTGGTCCTGCTAGCTATGGATGATGGGAGTTGTAGTCCAAAAACAGCAGGAGACACAAGTTTGGGAAACCCTGCTCTAAATACAAAGGGCACTCGGGGCGGCAGACAGGGGGCGGACGGGACACAGAGCTTAAACTTTAAAAAGGTAAAGGTAAAGGTACCCCTGCCCGTACGGGCCAGTCTTGACAGACTCTAGGGTTGTGCGCCCATCTCACTCTAGAGGCCGGGGGCCAGCGCTGTCCGGAGACACTTCCGGGTCACATGGCCAGCGTGACATCACTGCTCTGGCGAGCCAGAGCCGCACACGGAAACGCCGTTTACCTTCCCGCTAGTAAGCGGTCCCTATTTATCTACTTGCACCCGGGGGTGCTTTAAAACTGCTAGGTTGGCAGGCGCTGGGACCGAGCAATGGGAGCGCACCCCGCCGCGGGGATTTGAACCGCCGACCTTTCGATCGGCAAGCCCTAGGCGCTGAGGCTTTTACCCACAGCGCCACCTGCATCCCTAACTTTAAAAAGACATTGCTGTTAATAAAACAACCAGTTTCACAAAACGCCTAACAAACATACAAAAAAAAACCTGAATGTATTTGAACTGGCATAGTTCTCTGAGCTATCAGCAACCGAACCGGCAAATCAGAGCAATGTCTGCACCTTAATGCTCGCTCTGTCTCCTTGAAGAAGAATCAGAATCATCTTGCCCATGAACATCAGTCTTCCAGTCAGCTTTAGATCTGCACACCATTTTTCTACTGTTTTGACATATTTTCCCTTCGCTCTCATGTGATCTAAACGCAGAAGGGCAATCCAGACACCATCCTCCTCAGGTCCGTCTGTTGATAGAGTACTTTCCCCGCTGCAGACTGAAGTTTCAGCTTGCTCGACAGCATGCTTAAGATTCTGCTCTATCCAGAGAATCAGCTCGTGTACCATGGGCTGTGAAAAATGCCTCCTTGCTTCCTCGAGTAATCTCCCTTTCACGGCTGCACACTGCGTCCTTGTAAGCTGCTCAGAGCTAACAGAGATATTCGGCAGGCTTGATGGGTAACCAATCGGCAAATGAAACAACAGCTTCAACAATATATCTGCGCCCAAAGGTCCTTTTGAGCTGGTCTGAATCCTAAATGTGATTCCTTCCGTCTCTGAAAAAGCATCCAAAAGCAATGATCAACTGAGAGTCAACTAACATATTTGCAACAGTTGTTTGTTTGTTCGTTCTTACCCTCAGAAAAAAGCTTTATTTACTCTCGGGGGGGACGGACGGACCTGAATGATCTATTAATATTTCATAAAACTATAAAATGTCTGGTGTGAGATTATTTCTGTACTGTGGAGGGATAAAGGTAAAGGTAAAGGGACCCCTGACCATTAGGTCCAGTCGTGGCCGACTCTGGGGTTGTGGCGCTCATCTCGCTTTATTGGCCGAGGGAGCCGGCGTACAGCTTCCGGGTCATGTGGCCAGCATGACTAAGCCACTTCTGGAGAACCAGAGCAGCACACAGAAACGCTATTTACCTTCCTGCCGGAGCGGTACCTATTTATCTACTTGCACTTTGATGTGCTTTCGAACTGCTAGGATCAGGGACCGAGCAACGGGAGCTCACCCCATCGCGGGGATTCAAACCGCTGACCTTCTGATCTGCAAGTCCTAGGCTCTGTGATTTAACCCACAGCGCCACCAAGTACAAAATCCACACATCAAATGTGAAGTGTACCATGCAGCGCAGAGGTGGATAACCTGCTTTTGCCCGAAGGTCACATTCATTTGTGGGCAACTTTGTACAGCTAAAGTAGATGTGGTCAGATACCACTCGAATAATCCCAGTTCATGAACATAGTCCAACCAGGAAATATCACCAGCGGAAACATCAGGGCCAGTTAGCGGTGCAGCCTGAGAGAGAAGGATTTGGGTAGAAGCCTGAGGGCCAGGTAAAATGGCCTGGAGGGCCACATTTAGATCCTGGGCCTGAGGTTTACCACCCTTGATCCAGTGGCTAAAATACTAAGATTGTAATCCAGTATCTACTTACCTGGGAGTAATCCATATTAAATCAATAGGATTTACTTCTTCGTTTCCATTACTTATTTTATTTATTAGACTGACAATACCGCCCTTCATCATAAGATCTTAGGGTTCACAGGATAAAAATACAAGGTAAAGGCACAAATAGGTAGTTAAAACAAAAACAACAAAACAAGTATAAGATTGCACACTGAGCTGTTTTTGAGAAACTAAGATATTGCATCCACCATGAATTTGTTGGGTGGTGTAACCTGGGAGATCAGGGTTCAAACCCCCACTTGGCTATGAAGTTGGCTATGAGTGACCTTCAGCCAATCACTTTCTCTAAAATGGGGAAGAGAAAACCATGAGTATCGCCTTCAGCTCCTTGCAGGAAAAGATGATATATAAATGGAACAAATAAAACAAATATTTCTTAACATGGTTTCCCAACCTGAAATATGCTGAAGGTACAAGTTATAAATTATGTACCGTAAATAAAACATTAAGAGAAGCATTTTGGACATTCAAAAACCAATATATAAATGGCAAAGTATTGTGGTATGTTGTTATGTGAATTACAAACTGGATAGGCTGCTTCCCAAAAGAGGCGAAGGAAAATCAGTAATCAGGCCCAAGCCTATCATTTTCAAGTCACACTGGAGAGTACTCAAAACAACTTTAAGAAAGGAAGGGAAAGAGTGTCTAAATGATATTACGCTTACTAAGGTTCCTGGATTCTGCCTTTGGTACTTCTCTGTCCTTTATGCTTAACAGGGAAGTCATACAGCCAATTGTTACCCTAAGCATTTTAGTTTAGGGATCAAAGAAGAGATTAATGCTTTAACACACCTGTAAGAATTTAATCCAGGACCTGAATTCATAGCAATAGATCTTGAATGGAAAGCAATGTGGAAGGGTCTGTTTCAGTGTTAGTGAAATTCAATATAAGTCTTGGGAATACAAATATGGATTCCATCTAATCAAGAACTATTAGTTAAGATAAACCAGGACTCTTTGAGGGTGAACTAGCAAGACTTTGATTTTTTTTAATCATGCGAGGAAAGTCATGTTGCTTAAATGTCAAGCTATTTACAGCAAATAGACCCTCAGACACAGATAGGGCAGGACGATTTTTCAAGAGGAAACAGTGCAGAAAAAAAGGATTAATACCCCCAACTTCCCCCTATATCTAGATCACTGTTGGCTGAAGTTGCTTTCTGCAAAACAAAAAATGGTAAGAGGGCAATTTGAAGTGCATGCTTAACATGAACTGGAAGTTTGAGCAAAAATGATGGCTTTACAGTAATGTTTAATTTTTGCTTTAAATGTTGTCAAATGCTGCACAATTCTTGTTAATGCTTCAGAAAGGGGGAAAGTTCACAAGTCTTTGGCAAGATAAAACCCAGTCCCAAAGAAGAAGAAAAACTTACAGCTAATGTTCAGACATTACAGGAAGACAGATGTTAAGTTGTGGGTGAACATATCAGACGACACAGAGATTCTTCAAACAGCTCTTCTTTATTCAGATGCCAGAACAGAACTGAACTGAAGGGCTCAGTCAGCCTGCTTATATAGAGCTCCAGAAAAACGTAACTGTTGCAACTTTCTAAAACTATCCAATCACTGAACGTCACTTTTGATCCTTCATTTGCATACAAACTATCCAATCACTGAACGTCACTTTCGATCCTTCATTTGCATAACTATCTACAGTATCCCCCTGCTGGCCCAGGGTGAGAACTTCAGTACATAACAACAGATTTTCAGGAGACAATGAAAAATCAATTAAGACGACTCTCAATTAGAAGATTGTAAGGTTTGGTTTGATGGAGAATTATCTGATATTTATATAAGAGCCAGTTTCCAGCCATGAAACAGAACCAAGGGTAGGCAAATGGCAAACACTGGCTGACAGTTTATGAGCTGTGGATTTGGGACAGGAGTGAAATAAAACATATCTCCTAAATAGTCACCTGCTTCAAGAGGGTGAGGTGTTTTCCCCCTTTGAGGGTGTCCCCAATTTTCTCCCTCAGAAGCCAGTCGTTCGGTATGGGGGTTTAGGGAATGAACTTTTGCCTTTGCAAAGTAAAAGGTAAAGGTAAAGTACCCCTGCCCGTACGGGCCAGTCGTGTCCGACTCTAGGGTTGTGCGCCCATCTCACTTAAGAGGCCGGGGGCCAGCACTGTCCGGAGACACTTCCGGGTCACGTGGCCAGCGTGACGAAGCTGCTCTAACGGCCTGGATGCTGGCAAAAATAAACGAAGATAAAGTTTCTAATATCCAGAGAGAGTGTGTGTGACAGAGACAGAGACCACTTGGGGGGTCATCAAATGAAACTGACTAACTGGCAAGAGATTCAAGCCAGAACAAATTTCTTCACAAACACCCATAATCAGCTTATGGAACTGACTGCTACCAAATGGGAATGGCTTTAAGCCTAGCCCAACAAATTTGTCTTTCAATGGCTATTAGAAGATTGTGAGGGGTTTAAAAAAAAAGGTAATGATAATGATGGTGTAAATTATTTTGCATTGGTGGTTTTCATTATATTGTGCATCACTCTGGTTTCCCAACTGGGAAGTAGAGCAGCATATTTTAAAAAAAACAAAACAAAATAAATGAATAATACTGTTGAGAGACAGGGTACCCCTAAATGAATACCAGTTGCTATGGGTACAAATATACTACAAGGAAGCACTGTGGCCTTCATGACTTACGGTATTTGTGGACCTTTCTGAACCATCTGACTGGACTAGATGGAGTCTGGATATGGTCTAGCACAGTTCTTCTTAGAGAATCATAGAGTTGGAAGGGACCGCGAGGGTCATCTAGTCCAACCCCCTGCAATGCAGGAATCTTTTGCCCAATGGGGGGCTCGAACCCACAGCTCTGAGAGTCAAAGTCTCATGTTCTACTGACTGAGCTATCCCAGCTAAGTTATGTCTTTAGAGTTCACAGTACCCTTTATAGGAGACCCCTGCAATTTATGAACCTTTGCTTTACACGTACCACACTTGTCATAACAACAGGCATTTTGGCAGTACAGAATAAGGTCAGAGAGATCCCAGACCACAAGATCCCAGACTATCCACTGAAACCCTAGTTATGCACAAAACCTGCTTGAAAATACGTAACTTCCAAGCCAACAGAAACGACCGACCTGCAAGCAGTTCTTCAAAGTACCATAATTCTTTCTTCCATCTTAAATGTATATGGTACTGTATGACTAAAACTGTGAGCCAGGAAGCTCCCGGCTGAAATCTTCCCTCAGCCATAGCCACTAAACTGGCAACGCTGCCATTACAGCCCTGTTTTCTAGAGAGCTGCTGAAAGAATTACTGCAACACGAAAGGCTTTGAACACTCGGAACGTGCTATAAAAATGCTGAGTTTCATTATTGTCATCAGACTAATCGCATGAATCAAAGGCAATGGAAAAAAGGAGAAGAACGGCACATGGTTTTTTTGTACTGTGCTGTTTTCCAACAGTAATGCAGCCAGCGTGAAACAATAGCAACGCTTTTGCTAAATTAAGAGGGACAAGGATCTCATCTGCTTCTACTAAAACAGAAAAAAGTTAGGGTGTAAGATGAAAGGTGCTCTTTTTTCAGATCTTCACTACATCGTTTCTTTGATGTGTTCCAACCACTTCACCCCATTCCTTCAAAAAGTTGCTAAAATGTCAACTTGATTCATTCTGAAGGGGTTGGGAGAGACAGATCTGAAAGACGCAGCGAAGCAGTCCCAAGTTTCAGATGAGTTCTTTTGAAGTGGCTTGTCTCTTCCCTACCTCCCAAGATCTACCTCGGCTTCATGGGATGGGCAATGGAGCTATGTCTGATTCCTGCCTCCCGCCCCTTCCTCACGGCTGACACGGCTTCGCAAGCTTCAGTGCCCTCTGCCAAACAACAGACGAAGACGGTTTAGTGAGTGACATGAGCTGAAATGGTTCAGACAACCCTGAGCACTATGAACAGCATGCCGAGAAATGGAGTCTTCTTCTCAGTAGAGTGCGTTGCCTTAAGAGGAAGACATTGCTTCTCTCTTCCATGGGCACTTTCAAGGAAACAAGAGGGACACAGGCACTGACTGACAGGCAAATACAGAAAAGCCAACCACAGAGCAGCATCAGGAAGGGGAAACAGCTTGGAGAGACTTTTGTTGTTGTTGTTTAGTCGTTTAGTTGTGTCCGATTCTTCATGAGCCCATGGACCAGAGCACGCCAGGCACTCCTGTCTTCCACTGCCACCTGCAGTTTGGTCAAACGCATGCTGGTAGCTTCGAGAACACTGTCCAACCATCTCGTCCTCTGTCGTCCTCTTCTCCTTGTGCCCTTCCATCTTTCCCAACATCAGGGTCTTTTCCAGGGACTCTTCTCTTCTCATGAGGTGGCCAAAGTATTGGAGCCTCACTTCAGGATCTGTCCTTCCAGTGAGCACTCAGGGCTGATTTCCTTCAGAATGGATCGGTTTGATCTTGGAGAGACTACCATTGTGTAAATCATGAGGCCTCAAGGTCTCATGAACTGGACTGCTGTCAAGAGATTTCCCAACCCTGGCCTACAGCATATCAAACTGCAACCCTAGTCTCCCATTTCACTTGCTGGTGCCATTTCCCCACCCCATGCAGCCGCTGGGGGATGTCAGTGCCTCCCCCCATGGCCGCATGGAGTGCCGGACATGTCATGTCTAGAGGAAAAAACTTAAACACGTTCCAGAGTTCCCAAAAAAATTGACCAGAGGCAACTGTACTTCACCCAGGAGAGCTTTACTGCTACTGAAGGCAAATGAGCATAATGGTCACAAATCCAATACATTCAGGATAGGCACAGTCCATAAGCAATCTAGTTGAAGCAGACTTAACTTAAACTTACTTATAACTTATAATAAGACTGAACCTTAACACTATAGCATACAGAACAGAACACCACACCAGAACAAAGTGACAGAAAGAGAAAGCGTGAAACCCAGGCTCCTCCTGACCTGATTATTATATCAGCATGACCTTGACAGAAAGGATAACAGAACCAGTTTAAACCAGCTGTACTCAGCTTCCCAGAAGGAACAACCCAAACATCAGAAACCTTCTGCCTGTTTCTTTCACATAGAAAGAAACCTCCAGAACACTCTTGAACTAAGTAGAATAGGAAATATCTCCACATCATCAGATCAATACTTTCTGTACTAAGAAATACAAAGTGACAGGGCATCCCCCATTTGAACAGACCAGTTTCAAGTAGGCTAGGGGAAGGCATGGCAGCAGCGGCGGACCTGACTGACCCAGGTTCCAGGTAAGGTCCACCTATTTCTTATATAAAGAGGCCACGCCCGAGCCATCCATTTGGGTTTGGCACTGGATCCTTCACCCTGAGAATCAGATTTGGTCCTGCCCGAAGGAGAGCAGGGTCAGTCCACATGGAATACTCACTGAAGAACAGAATTGTAGAGCTGCTGTTTTGGAAGCCAGGGAGGGATACTGTATTTTTCCTGCAGACAAATTGGGCCAGTTGGGAGGTTTTTGCCAGCAATCATCATAACTTGATGGCGGATAAGGCGTTGGGCTGGATTCTTAGCCTTTTGGGTACCCCACTAAAGGGGTCCGTGAGGGGGTGTCTCTGCCCAGGAGCCCACACAGGGGCTGTGAGGCTACAGCACCATTCCAATATGACACTCCTGGTAGGACTGATTCAATGTACGCCAAAATCCAGGGTCGACCCGGCCAATTAATCCATTAGGAGATGACTTTGTTTTTGTTTTTTTCTTTGTTCTTTTGTTCTTTTGTTTGTTTCATTTTCTTTCTAGGTATATAAAATTTGTATATAATTTTTGTATACATGTTAGAAATTATATTATAGTAAGCCCTGTAATGGAATATGACAACGTTTACTGATGTAATGTAAGAATGTTAACAAATAAATAAAATGCAAATAAATAAAAAAAGGAAGGAGATACATACTCAATGCCTTCGCCAAAGCCTACTTACACCTGCAATCAATAAAGCTGAGGCCTATTTTAACCCAATACCAATGTCCTGTATCTTATTATCTTCCTTATCCGGCCTGCAATGCAAAACCAGCCGGCCACCTTTGTGCCTCGAGTTTGCTTTGGGGTTATTTTTCTTGCACATTTCAAAATAATACTGACATATCAGGCTGAACATGATAACAGCCCTGACTCAGAAGGGGCGCTGGCAGCTGAAGTTGGCGGATTACAAGAAGTCTCCCTACCTACCTGTAATAGCACCTTCTATTTGCCTGACTCTTTCACAAGAGGCGCTATCTGAAATAGAGCGCAGTAAATTACCATTCTGTTGACATTTATTGTGCTAATAAGTTGGAAACCCAGCACATTCTCACTCATTTCCCGCAGCTGCATGCTTATCATCAGTAAATTTAGTGCTGGCATACTTCAAATTGTTTTCTGTGTTTGGTGTCAGCTAGAAAGGGCTCCCTCTCTACACCTCCTTTTTTTCCTTTTGCTGGCTTTCTGTGTCACCAACTCATTGTGCATTTCTGAGCATTACCTGCAGAAATCCAAATTTTGATGAACAAATATATGTTTTATGGCAAGATAGCTGAGCAAACCATAGAGGAGGTCGAGAGAGTGGATTAACAAGTAAATTATGTCGGTCTATCGGCAACACTAATCTTTGAGGCCAGACAAGAAAAAGTAAAGCAGACCTTTGTTAATTAGCTGATTTAAATTCATTCACACATCATTTTCAATAAAACGCCTGCTGCATGTTGAGCGGGTCACTCCTAAGCTTCAGAAAACTCGGATGTTTTTACAGACTGAGTGGAGGGAGAGCACCCCATACCCACCAACCCTCAAGAAATCTCTACTCTGACCCATTCACGTCCCTTGATTTTAACGCAACCATCTCTAATAATGGGCCTAATTTGTTTTCAGTTGATTAGCATTTCCAAACAGCTGAATATATTTGAAACATCTAGGCAGTGTGCAAAATACAAAATGGAGATAAAAGCAACAATCAAGCAATAGCAAGGTCCAATCTTATGAGTCAGAGAAAACCTAGATAGAAAGATATGCCTGTTAGCAAACAATTATTAGATGCTCGTGCCGCACTCACTATAGAAAGTCACTAGCAGAGGGACTCAGGAGTGGTGGCGGTTTCACCAGTGATATACTGCTGAGTGATCGCGGTCCGCTCCTTATACCGGTCCTGGGAGATATATTGATATATCACCCAGGCCTAGTGCCTCAGTGATCAGGCATATGGGATTTTTTCCAACCCTAAACATGGGTAAGCAACATTACAGCCGATTTGTATTTTAACAGCAAGCATTTTCATAAATTATTCAATCTAATTTGGATGCTACAAAGACACTCCTGGGATCCACAGCAGCAAAACTAGTTTTGTTTTGCAAAACTGATACATATCTCATACTGGAACATTTTGCAGGACTGGGAGGCACAAAAGATCTCCAGCTTGATGCTGGAAATAAAATGTCTTGCCTGCATTCCCAAAGCATATTATCGTCTAATTTTTATAATCCTCTTTTGACAGTTATTGATTGTGTTTTAAAAATATATATTCTTACCAGACCAAAGATAGGGTTTGACACCTGATTAACAAAACCTTCGCTGATTAATGCGTTAATAAATCAAATGTGCATTTGTTTGCAGCCTATGACAATCGTTTTTGAGAAAGACAGCAAGCTTCTCCTGTTCTTTGAGCAGAGATGGCTACACTGTGGCCCAGATCACCTGTCAAAATGGCTCACAAGGAAAGATAAGGAGATAAGGAGAGATAAGGATCTAGCCAGCCAAAGGCAGCTCCCCATCCCCTCTTTAAACCTGGAGAACTTACTCTTGGAAAACAGAACACAAATCTCCAGTTTCTACAATTCCCTTTAGCAAGTCAAGCAAATTCTGGCTAGTGTCATTCATTTACTCATCACAATTTGTTATATATATATACGATATATATATATAAAAATTGTGACAGAAAATTGACACCCATTAGACTCTCTGCTATGTCAAAAGTTAGAAACAGTAAAGATGTGTAACTTTTTTATATCAAGAAATTGACAAGGAGAAAAAAGAAGCCAAGCTGGATTTGGTACCATTAATTATAAAGAGAGTCTGGGATTAATTATTTAGGGTAACTTTTAGGTATGCATGCAATGCAGAAGCAAGGAAAAATAAACTGTCACAATGGGCCACATTCAGATGGTGATACAGTGGCTTATTAAGTCAAAATATGAACAACTTCTTTAGAGGGCATATGCAGCCATTTCTTGCTGTAAGTAAACAAACCAGGAAGTCTCTAGCTAACCATAGTTTCTCAAACTGGATGTAATGGGAAACTATGGTTAATCAGGAGATTCCTGGCTTAACCGCAGTTTGAGTGAAGGGAGGGGTGAACTGTGTGGATTGATCCAATGACCATTTGAGGCATGATCATCCAATCTGACTCAGTATCTCAGAGCAGTGGTTTTCAAATTTTCGATCTCCGGGGATCCCTTCCTGCACATGCGCTTTTTTCCCAACGACTACTCTGTCTGTTGCAGAGGTTTCTAAGCTCAGTTCATGCAAAGCACAGACCAGGACAGAATGCACCCACCACACTATGGCTGCACACTGGAGACAGAGGTGGCGAAGATGGGCCAGCTCTTTTTTAAAGGAAAAGTCTGCCTACCATTACTGATCTCATTCAAAAATGCCTCGTAGGTTTCAGAAGAACGCAATGTCCCCCGGAACACTGTTTGAAAAGCTACAATGCTGCGGGAGGCGGGCAGGGGAAGCTGAGTTTTAACAGAGAAATTGCCACACATTTGTAGCACACCGCAGTGGGGGAAGCAGCTGAACTGTTTTTGGAACATACTCAGATGCATATTTAATGTGCATTGGTGATGTTTAGCAGTCCGACAGTAAACTCGTGCAAAGCAGCCTTGGGGTCTTCGGAGGCGACTGGCAGCAGCGGAGAACGTTTGGTTCAGCTTGCCAGCAGCTGTTGACAGAAAAGCAGGGTACAAGGGCAATGCTTACAAGAGAGTTGGGAACAGAATGGGAACACTTTGCATGTTTACAGACATTTGAGCTGGGAGGAGAAAAATAAAATAAATAAAACTTACATCATTTTAACTTTTCCCCCCATGCTAAGATTAAAAAAACGCCTGAAAGAAAACATATTCCACCGTCCCCGCTTGACATAAAAGGAAGAAGGTATCAGTTGATGGAGAGGGGGAAAAGGATGACAGAGAGGGAAGGGACTCTCAAATATCACCAACAGAGCTGTGTATCCACCGTACATGTAAAGCACATTCCCCGTCTCCTGGCAAAAAAAACAACAATCCTGGGAGTTGTAGTTTAAAGGTGCTGAGAACTGCAGCTCTCGGATTTTGGGGGGGAGGTGTTTTAAATGTATGGTGTGTACACAGCTCAAGTTAGTTAGCTGCTCAGGGCCATTTTTTAATGGGCTCACTCAGTAAGCGCTTGATCTTTCCTGAACACCTGATTGATCCCAGACAATCGCCCTTTTGTACAATAAAGTACAGATAAAGGAATGCAAGAGAAGTCTCACGGGTATTTTATTTTGGATGTGGGCATCAGCTTACATCTCACTGCACACATCTAAGCCAAAATATATCGCCATCAAGCCACTCTCTGTCAATAAAACACACAGGAAGGCAACATCCGCTTGGCTCTGAAAACTGGAGTTCTGGGATCATGTATGTTGCCTACATGACCAGTCAGACCACTTGCTGCTCCTCTGCAGCTGCTGTCTGTTATTTAAAGGGGTATCTCTGGGAAGGAATAGGAACTTACATGGGGGGAGAGAAAGGCAAGGGAATGTCTCAGCACGTTGCTTAAAATGTTTTTAGAAACACTGCATAACTTGAAGAAAAGGGGCAGCACCTGCACACACATAACACACATACACACAACACACAACAAACTTAGTTTTGCCTGTTTTTGAACCTCTGCTTCACACTACATCTTGTTTGTGGGCCTATTCAGGAATGTGGCAGTGAATCAGGGGAGGAAAGTTATTGTAATGTCTCAGGTGCCCTGGCTGAAATCAAACCACTGATTTTATCCTTTTTAAAAATATATATATACTTTTAAAAAAGAAGAACCATAAGCAAGCAGCAACAAGAGTTACCTAGTGTATCTACTCCTGGATTTATTTATTTTTTTGCATTGGTGCTTATTTATGCCATTAAAAACCACCATGCACTCAAGAACTTAGGCCCCATAATGCAGTAGCTTGACTTATCAAATTTGGACCTGGGAGACCAGGGCTCAAACCCCAACTCAGCCATGAAACTCACAGGATGACCATGGGCCAGGAAGTCTCAAGCTAGCCTGTGTCTCCCACTTGTCGGAACATAGGAAGCTACCATATACTAAGTACCACCAGTGGATCCATTAAGCTCGGTACGGTCTACATCGACAGGCAGCTGCTCTCCAGGGCTTCCGCCAGGGTTTTCTCTCAATTATGCTCACACCCTTCTCAAATGCAACCCGTTCCCCCTTTATCCATGGCTGCGTACAAAACAGCAGGAAAAATCAGCAACCAGACAATGACGCTCTGCACATGCTTAAGGATACTCTTAAAGGGTAAGCGTACGGATAAAAACTGATGAAGCAGCTACCACAGACACCTGGACAACAGATGAAGCATTCCTATTATTATTATTTTTAAAAACTGTGCAACGATTTCAAAGGGGAGGGGAAACTAGGGGGTTTCTGAAAGGCGGAAGTTCATCTTTGTATAATGAGAATCAAAAGTAATTCTGATTTTTATGGGATGATAAAGCTGCATTCATCTACCGCTTGCTGCTTTTGTGGCCTTTTTCTCTGCTCCCCAGGAGCCGCACAGAATTTCCCCCTCCTCATTTTTATGGGAACCCCTGCTTTTCAAACGGGTCTTTTTTCCCTCCCCGTGTTGTTGTTTTGAAAGCAGGTGTGCTAAAAGCTGCTCCTATCTGTCGTCATTAGGAGGTTCTCAGCAAAAAACTCCCGGTTATGGGTCACTGAGCCAGCGGTGCTAGGATTGGGAAACAGTCACCTGACACCTCCAGCACTTCGCATTCATCTTCCCCGCAGTAAATCGCGGCAATCGCAGAGAGCTCCTCTAAAGCCAAGTCCGACATGGCAGAGAGACGCGCCGCCCCTTCCGCCCGGATTGAAAACGGGGACGGGCTTGAAAAGGAGTCCCGTGTCCACAAGGGGGCGCTCCGCCTCCTCCGCTCATTAAGGCAAAGGCAAAGGATGCGGCTTCTGCCGCTGACAGCTGATTCGTGGTTACCTCTGGTTGCCTCAATAACCAAGGTTGTGTACATTGTGGTGAAAAGAAACCCGTTCCTTCGGGACAAAGCGCTGTAAATTGAACAATAAGAACAGTCAGAGGCTCTGCATTCCTAAAGTGTGAAGCTTGATTGCTTTCAGAATTGTTTTTTTAAACAAAGGACCTTTAAACAAAACTTGTGCATGGGAAACAACATAAACTGAAAGTGCGCAAATTGGAAAATTATGGTTATATGGTCCTTTGTAACTCTTCTCAGGTATCTGAAACCTTCCTGGCCCGCTGTCGGCACTGAATTCCGTTGAATAGGCAATCTTTAATTCACAGATAAGTAATCTTGAACAATTCCAAGAAATGCTAAAAGTAGTTCAGTCCTAAACATGGCATAGTGGTTAGAGCGCTGCACGTAAAACAGGGTGAGACCCGAGTCCCAATCCTGCCCCCACCTCCATCACGGAGTTCAAACGGTGTGGTGTTGGGGCCCAGTCATCTTGTGTCAGCCTAAGCTACCTCACAAGGTTGTTGTGAAAAGAGCTGCTTGAGCTCCTTTGACAAAAGGCTGGATAAAAAGAAGAGAAATAATGCAGGTGGTGGAGAGAGGGGGGTGAGAGAAATAAAAGGTGGCAACTAAAAAAAAAAGCAACCTGAAATATACTCAGAGGCAAGTGTGGATTTCATGCTCTTTATTTAGCTCATAGTAGTGAGGAATGCAAGTTTTCCCAAAATATCTGCTTTATATACATTATTTACACAATATTACACAATGGGCCGCACGTGATTGGCTAATTCCTGGATTCTCCTGTAGGCCAATCAGGTTGCGGATTCACTTCCACCTGGAGCTGGATTGGGTGGCTCCTGCGGACCAATCATATTGCTGCATTGTTCTAGGACCAATCAGACTGCTGCATTCTGAATCCTATTGTTCTAGGACCAATCAGACTTCTGCATTCTGAATCCTATTGTTCTAGGACCAATCAGACTGCTGCATTTGGATCCTATTCAACTCAGTACATAACACAACCCATGGCAAAAATAGACAGCGCAACCCAACCCATGTAGTATTATCATGTGAGGTAGCTCCAAACAATTACCTACAAAAGAAGGAGGATTATATGGGAAGTATCTCAAAAGTCTCCACCAAAAGCCTCTGTCAGCTAAATAGAGACAAGGCTTCCTGTGATGATATTAATAACTAGGAGAGTTTACGGGGAATTAGGTGCTCCAAGATATGCTGCGCCCGTTATTTGTATGTGGGCAGGGTAGGGCCCAGGCTTGTGCCTTATTGGCAAGAGTGTGGGCAGGAGGAAATCAAGGACACACTTTCTGTTTGTACGGCAGTCAGGTTGAAGGCAGCGCAAAACCCTCACGACCACCGCTGCTTTCAGCTAGTGTCATCCTGGAGCATTGTGGGAAAATAAATGGGTGGTTAGACACAGCCAGCTGCCAGAATAAGCTCACGCAGCGGCGTAGCGTGGGTTGTCAGCACCCGGGGCAAGGCAAGTAATTTGCGCCCCCTAACCCCTAACCTGCCGCTGCTGCCAGCTTCTTCTTGCTGCTGCCTGGGCTGGGGTATTTACGGTAAGGTAGCCACGGCGGCGGGTCCGTGTCAGGTGATCTGAGGCGAGTTGCCGCTGGCACTGCCGCCCAAATGACACCGCTTGCCCGGAGGAGGAGGAGGGCAGAGAGGCGAGGGAAATGCAACATGGCCCAGCAGCTGCAGCAGCGGCGGCGGCGGCGCTGTGAGGAGGGGCTGCCTGGCGCGCCCTCCGCGGCCCTGACGCGCGGGGACCGCGGCGAGTGCTGAGAGCCGCTGCCAGCTCGTCGGTTCCGCAAGACATGGGGCTCTGCTACAGCCTGCGCCCGAGGCTCTTCGGCGACTCCGGAGGCGGCGAGCGCGCGCCCCCCCCCAGATGTTGCACCCGGTGCGGCCGGCCCCCCCTGCACCCCCCACGCTACGCCACTGAGCTCACGGCCAGGGTCCACTGGCAGAGGAGGGAACCATCAGCAGCACCTTCTCCCAAGGCTCCCTCAAAACGTATATGTATTTTATTGTGGGTGCTTAAAATGTCGCCTTCATAGTTGCTGTGGCGGGCCATGAGCCCTTAGGGTCAGGTGGGAAATATATCCGAACAAGCATTTTCCAAGGTACCACGGCCGCAGCTGCCCAAGTGAAAGGGTGCTTAACAAAACCACAGTTTCCTTGCTGCTGCTGCTGTGCAAAGATAATTGCACATAAAGCAGCAGCCCCACAAAAAATTCACTTACAAATACTAAGGCAAAAAAACCCCCACAATTAAAAACAGCAGTGTGGCCATGTTTCAGCAGTCTACATATTTCATACCTGTAAGTATGAAATATTTACAAACTAATAGGGGAATGAGCGGCAGGTGACAGAAACAGTTGAAGAGAGGCTGTCAAAAGTGCAGCAAAGTATTGCTTGCTCCTGTCAGGAAGGCGTCTATGAAAATTAGCTGAAACTTACCACCTTCTTCTTTTATGACAATCTTTTCCTCCCTTCGCACTCCCCCAGCAACCATCTTCCTTTCTTAACAATGCTTTGTTTAATACATTTTATACATTTAAATAATTTTTAAAAAATAATAAGTCAATGTAAATGTCTTTTAAACTGACACTATCTAAAGTCACTGAGGTCCCCACACACAAGTTCTTGCACTCTGACATTTGGAAGTCATCAAATGAGACAGCATAATGTCAGTTTGATATTTGTCACACTATGCAAATATCCGCTTCATGTCAAAGATCTAAATCCCATCTAAACGTAATACATTCTCTTGTAGTCACAGGCTTGTGAAAATGCTAAATATTTAAATTCAAGATGAATGTCTATTCTTGGCCTTCTGTTGCATTATTACTGTGTAGGAACTCTTTTCTATTTAAAAAAAAATCCAGTTGTGTGGCTCACAAAAAACTAATATTATTAGCTGTTCTTATTATTAGCATACCAGCTAATTAGTGTGGCCTACCAATTCCTGGTATGCGAACACTTGTAACTTAGCCCTTTGCAGAATTCACATATAAAAGATATGTGTGGATAAATGGAACTGCCATCAGAATATGGCTTGTTGTAGCCATACTGTTGGGATGTACTGATGCTTAATTGAAAGAGTGCAATAAACACGCATGTCCCACAGCTAGGGAAGAGAGTATATTTGCACATCCACAGTTGCACTCTTCAAGCATAGATTTATATTATATTATATTATATTATATTATATTATATTATATTATATTATATTATATTATATTATATTATATTATATTATATTATATTATATTATTATATTATCTTTTCCGCTTTCTTCTACAGAAATTTTATCACTTTAAAATTCACCAATGTTGGCAAGGTCTCAGGACCCAAACAGAAACAATATTAATCCCCAGTAGTCAGAATGACTGATTAAAGACGTATTAGTGAATAATACAAGGTTCAGAAATTAATATTACAGCAATAGGGGGGAAAGAAAAAGGTCTTCCCTACTGAAGTATGCAACGTGTGCTTTTACACCTCATTTATAATAATTGTAACCATTTCATTCACTCCTGATTTTTTATACTTTATTACAAAGCTCATTGTGTTGAACCTATATTATTATGTTGTATGGTAATTGTTCTCTTTATGTATATTGTCTGCTTTGGTTGTTCAATCATTATATGTATGTGATGGAGAAAAATCCATCCTTTTCAAAGTATTTAACTGGTATCCAACTCAGCTATAGATGCCATACTTCTGAGAGGATTGAACAAAGTCATTTAATGCACTGCACTCATTGCGTATAAAAATGCAGCCATTAAGTTCATCTGCAGACTGAGAGAATAACACTTTCTGCCTGTGTTTCTGGCTGTGTTTTAGAGCAGGGCTTCCTAAACTGGTCTGTGAACCGAGCTTCATTCAGGTGGTCTGTGGTGTGTGTATGGATTGGTGGTTGAAGACGGGCGACGGCCCATCCATCACATTAAATGTTCTTAATTTTTAATTGCATTTGAATTGTTTCTTTTATTTCTTATATTGTATTTTGTTGTCTTGCAATTTGAACTCTATGGATTATTTGAATTCTTACCATAAAATACAATATAATTTGAGTTCTATACAATAAATTCAGTAAGAAGTAAAAGAAGAAATAACAGCACAATTAAAAAGCAGGGAGTGCATCTAGCACCAGTGCATCACATTTGCTACAGCAGGCAGGGGAAAAAATTAAGTAGTCTGGCAAGACCCTCAAGTTGTCTTGCAGTTGGGTGGAATCGGGGAACCACTGTTTTATAATACTGTTTATAGTTGTGTCATAGGCAGCAATTTTAGCAGAAGGGTACTTAATACATTCACTTTTTACCACCATGTAATGTAAAATGTTAATGTGGGTCTGCAGGGGCAATGTCAGGGACCATATGGTAAAGATATAATGTGTTCGTAACTTTAGCTGCAAGGATAACACACTTGTTACTTAATCCTTCCCACCTGGGGAATGTATCACTCAGACTTTCCACACGCAGAAACTTTCACACCTCCAGAATTTCAGTTCCTTTCGAACATTTTCTTTTGAGTGACTTTTTTCTTTTTAAATGACCTTTATCTAACTGCTCAAACAACCCAAACTGCTTGTGAAATCAAAAGGATCAGAGGGGTAGGTTTATTTGCAACAAGAACAGACGGGCAGTAGTACTGAGATGCTACTAAGAAGAGCTCAATATTGTATACCCAGAAGTCATGACCTACATGGTGTTTCTGAAATATGTATACCCTAACCTGCATGATGTAAAATAAATGAGACAGGCATTTTTAAACCACAAAATTCTGCATTTCACAGAAACTTGAAACTGTGAGGGTTTTGTCTGAGGAATTTAAAAACTATGCAAAAGTCTGTTAGACAAACCGTTAAAGAAAAAGTTTTATTTGAATGCTTAATTGCTATTATACAGTCAGGCAGCATATTTCTTTGGAAAGTAAACTGTACTTTATAAAGGTCAGAGCAGATTTAAATGTTGTAAACAGAGTTTTAATCTTTTTCTTATGACTCCTCAACTTTGCAAG